GCCTTTTTGTCCTTTGGAAGCTCTACCAGCTCATAAGTCCCATTCTCTTGCAAAGAACTCATTTCTTCTTGCATTGCCATCAACCATTCCTTCTTGTTTTCACTCTCCATAGCTTCATAATAAGTTTCTGGCTCTCCCCCGTCAATCAAGAGCACATACTCATCAGTAGAGTACTTCCGAGATGGTTGATGGAGTCTACTGGACCTCCTAACTTGAGGTTGCTGTGGTGGTTGCACTTGCTCTTCTTGGTGTGTTTCTTCTTCAACAAAATGTTCAACAACAGGCCCTTGAACTTGCTGCTCATCTACTGCACTGTGATCATCATTCATAACACTTGGTTTAGGTGTTGGAGTACAATAATCACTGTCTGGTATTTCTTGAGTGTGCTCGCTGTCATCTTGCTTCTTTGAGTCTTCAACCGTCTCATTCTCAATTAACACCACATCTCTGGTTCTTATTAATTTTCTGTTTTTCAAGTCCCATAATCTGTAGCCATACTCCTCATCACCATATCCCAAGAACACACACTGTTTTGTCTTTGCATCAAGCTTTGCTCTTTCCTCTCTTGGAACATGCACATATGCCCTGCAGCCAAATACCCTCAAGTGCCTGTAGGATACTTCTTTGCCTGACCAAATCTTCTCCGGAACATCACCATTTAGAACAACAGAAGGGGATCGATTTATCAAGTACACTGCAGTCTTCAAAGCCTCACCCCAAAAGGACTTTGGCAATTTAGCATGAGAGAGCATACAGACAATTCTGTCACATATTGTTCTGTTCATCCTTTCAGCAACTCCATTATGTTGTGGAGTTCTAGGAGTGGTCTTCTCGAGCTTAATTCCTTGTTCTCTACAGTAGCGCTCAAACTGTCCACTGTATTCACCACCATTATCAGACCTGATGCACTTTAATTTCCTCCCAGTTTCTCTTTCTGTCATTGCCTGAAATTCTTTAAATTTTTCCAGCACCTGATCTTTACTAGACAAGGGATAAGCCCACAATTTTCTAGAAAAATCATCCACAAAAGTCACAAAATATGTAGCACCACCTAGACTTTTATCTTTCATGAAGCAAACATCAGTATGAACCAAATCGAGTGCATATTTTCTTCTAGACAGGGGTAAAGTGTGAAAAGAAACTCTATGATGCTTGCCAGCTAAACAATCAGCACAGGTTTTAGAAAGATTACCTGTAAAGCCGGGTAGGAGTTCCTTTTTGCTAAGGATTTGAAGTCCCTTCTCACTC